ACCGCTCTGGTCTGTTTATCATATTAAGACACATTTTTTTGGAAGAAAAAATGCTAGATTGCAAGTGTAACATAATAGAACCAGCAAGCACTGCCAGCAGGTCTGAGGAAGAGAGAATAATTCAGAGATATTGTCATCTGTAGGCCAATTTATATTGTCAGACAGCAGGTTCACATTAGTCTCTGATGTCACTGCAATAATGGCATAATATAACGATTGAGCAAAGAATACCTGTGGGGTATAGCTATATGGTGCGGTATATCTATACTTGTTAAAGTATTTCAGGATTCATTCAAAGCAGAATCAGAAGAAGCAGAAGACCAGGATTAAAAGAAGAATGAGAAAACGGTGTTCATAAAGACTTTTGAATATTTTAGCCTTTGTTTTGTGATGATCAAGCACGATGTTGTATTTCATTGATTCAGTGGGTTCATGATTAAAATAAACTAATGTAGCAATTTAGGGGTTTTGTGCTTCCTTTTTTTTTTTTTTTTTTTCCTTTTCCCCTCTAACAAGAAAAAAGCTTTTTAACAGTTTCTCGCGGCAGGCATAATGTGCATCTGTGCTCTGATTTACTGCACATGCTGCCTTCTCTAGCATCATGTTAAGTTAGGGTATCAGCATGGTAGGTCACACAGTGGGAGTGACCTTTTGCTAATCACTACACATCAGTTACTACTGGCACACAGCTCATTACTAAGAAACCCTCCAACTAGCTGGCTTTCAAATCTGCTCACACTTTGATTTTTTTCCCTTTTCTTTCTTTCTTTTTTCCCCCAGACTAAAGATTATACTTTTACATAAAAGCTTCTGTTGTGTAATTTTGTCAACTAGGGTTCCAAAGTCAAAAAGGCACCCAGTTAATTTTCCGTGATTATAAAAGGAGCCTGAAAATTCATACCGAAGGTAGGCCTGTAATCTTGGGTTTCATTAAAAAGGTCAGAACATTTTTACTCACCACCTATTATTAAAATGTTTGAGGGCTGCCATTAATTTGATTTTTCAGGACACAGAAATCTCACTGGAAATTAGAATGTAATCCTGCTGTTGCTTTACTGACACTTTTCATAGGGTAGGATACGGCTGCGGGGACTAAGAGCTTTCCTGCAATTTACAATTGGTTACTTTGGACAAATGGCAGGTGACTAATGCAAGACAAACTGTTTGTACAACCTGGGAGCACCGGGTTTAATTTCAGTTTCTGAAAGAGGGGAGAAAGTGTTTCTACTGACGTCGAACCGCGAGCTATCCCCTGCTAATACATCTGCCACATTTAATACACAGCGTGCCCCCCCTCCCCGCCTCGACAACGTGATTATTAGAGGTACAGAATTCAATAGCTTAAGAATACAAAACATAGCTGGAGCAAAATAAAATGGTTTTTAACTTACCGGCCATTTGCTGAATGCCGCTGAAGGCACCCAAGTTACTGGAGGAAGTTGCTTGCTGCAGAAGCTGCAAATTAACAACATAACACAGCAATCTATCTGACATTAATGTTACAAATGAAGATAAAACTAAAATGAGCTATCATTTCACATTTGGAATATTTATGCTTTCCTTTACATTTATATAGTCTCTTGCTTCTGTCTATTGTTGGAATGAACATCCCTAGAGTCAATGCTGTAAATCCATATTAATGTCTAATCTCTATTAAGAAACACAGAGACACAAGGGAAACTCAATAACATTGCTGCTTTAAAACAATTAATCAATTTATTCTTTTTAACAACCAGGTGTTAAATCTATTTAAACCAACATAGCGTGACTAATTACAACCCTCTGTAGTCTAGTAGTTACCATAACTCATCTCTGTCAATCACAGTCCATTCTCCCCCACTCCCCTGAATTCAGTTTTTTCTTTATTATCTTTATGAATCAAGCACACAGATACTCATTAGACTGGTATTTGTATATAACAATTTAGCCTACCTCAGTATTAATTAGCCTACTTCAGAACTAATATATATTTTTAATTGCCAGGTAAATAGCTGTTCATAATTATATCACTATACCAAAGCATTGTATGCATACAAATTAGGTATTGATGCACACACAGTACATATATACGGACGCATCTCTTTGTCTAGCTTGGAACCCTCAGGATCTCTCCAAGTTATCCAAAAGCTGCTCAACCAGACATCTCAACTCCAGAGCCACAAAAGGCAGAGGCTCCCTCTCAGCTGTGCTGCAGGGGAGTCGTCTGGGCCACCCAGGACCTAAGACACACGGCTGTGGATTTCGGATTTCTCCAACAGGGGCAAGAGCTAACGTCTGGTTCTCGTCTTACAGATGGACCAAGGAAAATACCATTTTCAATTTATGAGAAACAAATTGCTTTCCCCTGCCATCTTCGCTCTCTGTACAAGGTAGCATGAACCACGCATGTTTAGCATTGACGGAACCACGCATTAAAGCGAAAGCCATTTCCGAATTCAAATGTGAAAAATTAGAGGACTGAACCACAACATTCCAGTTTAGAGGCTGCACCATATAGATATGGCCTCTACAGTGCTCAGCTGCCTATCTGTCCTCCCCAAAGGAAGAACTTAAATTTTATTCCAGCTATAAAAACCAGACTCTAACATTCAAAAGAACAATGAAACTAATGGAATCAAATTTTATTTTGCAGCACGAATAAACTTTAAACGCTTGACTTGGACAGCACTGACACATCTTGAAATGTTTATTCAAATTCTATTCCTTGTTAGGGTTTTTTCAGACCATGTGATAAACATAGAGAGTTTTTTATATAGAAAAAGACATGCTACATATCCTGGAGGATCTAGCAATTTATTGCTGGGAGCTTACTATAGCTGATTTACCATGGTTCAAAAATAAATACATTATAATGTAGCTACTGTCTCTGAAACGAACTTACAGCTAGATATTGTGGTGTGAGTCCTCCAAGACCTGTGAGGTTTCCCCAAGTGGCAGTATTGAGCTGTTGCATCTGCTGTGCCAACTGCTGCTGCAAACGCCGCTGCTCCTTGTCCTTTTGGGTATCGGCAAACTTCACCACGATTGGCGAAGAGCAGCCCTGTGGTTAGACAGATCAGGAAAGACAGAAGTGTTAAATCCCATCGAGCCACCCTTGCACTGTGAGCTCAGCCATGTCCCATAGGGCCACCGGCAACGGCACGACCTGATCGCTCATCCTCTCTTTGTGACTGGCATATGTAGCACTGCCGGGACTAAGATTTTTCAGCTTCTTAGGAAAAGAGGCTATGGAGAAATTATTGATTCCCCAGTTCTTTTTATAAAGCACCTTTCCTCAGGCTCTCTTTTCCTTCCAGCTATCAAAATTGCTGCCAGAGAGAGCGAAGTGTACCAGTCCTCTTTAATTAAGCTTCACAGCTGATGAGATGGATGTGATGCTTTGTCTGCAGTCTGTTTCCAAGGCATCGCCAAAGGGAGAGGTGTCCAACCTCCCTGCTGCCAGGGACCACACAGCCAACGCCGCCCTGCCGCCACGGTCTGGCTGTGTGGCCTCGCTCGGTGCAGCTGGCTTGTGTACCCTACGTAAACAGACTGCGAACAACTGATCTACTGCAGCGCCCATCATCAGCGGGTCCCCAGTCTCAAGTGAGCACAAAGGGTGATGCTGCTAGGACAATTCACCCACCTGTGGTCCGCTCCCAGGCACGCTTTGTATCAAGCACCCTTGAGATGTGAACAAAGGGCAGGATGCAGACCAAAAGTGACTAGTTCTGGTGATAGCAGCCCATTCCTGATTGCCACCATTTCTTCTATTGCTTCTATGAGCCTCTTGTTACATGATATGGGAGGGCTGTAGGACACCTTAGGAAACAGGGAGGCTGTAAGAAAGAACTAGAGATCTGGTCTGCAACCTACTCCTCACCCATGTCTGAGGGACCCCTGAGAAGAAGTAGGAGGTCATGGACCAGATGGACTTTTGAGGTAAGCTGGATGTTTCCCTTGGACTTCAGGTTGAGTATTCTTGGGCAAAGTCACTGAGAGAATGAGACATGAATGTGAAAGATGCCTCTGTTGCTCTCGCTCTACTTTTTTCCCTTGCTAACATATAAAAATATGTTTTTATATTTTAACCTTTCGAGTCTTCATTTTTTTCAAACCAAGGAAGCAAACTATATACTGCAATGATTCAGTTCCTCAAATTAATTCAAGCATTTTGTGAGTCACAGAAACTGTCAATCCATTTCATACTGTTTTCCAACTTCACTGGATCCAATGAATAACTTCCCTCCACCCGCCAGGCTTTGTTACACTAATTTCTTGTCTAACTGCAATCTGAACACAATGGTAGGAGTGAAAGGTGACTCAAGTCCAAAGACCACAGCAGCACTTCAGCCGAAGTGTGTAGCGTGGGATGGGGAGCGGGGTTATACTTAACCTAACACTTCCCATGGCTGCTCTCACAACACTGTGAACATCTTCAGAAAGGTTCCTGCCCTCTATTATTTACAAAAAGCAGCCGTGTATCTTTTCTCTGAAGAACTTCACACCAGGAGAAATGATAAGAATATTCACAATCAACAGATGAAATGATGAAATAAACCACAATAATAATATCTCTTGTATGAGGATCTCACATCAATACTGTTCCTTTAGAATTATCTTAGACAATCATCACTTGTGATTTATTATTCCACCTCCAACTCCTTTCCTGTGTGTTTCATTGTAAAAATGTCTTTCGATGTTTCAGTGAGGAAGGAGATATGTACCACTCCAGCAATCAAATAAAGATTATGAAGGAGTCAGCTTGTTACACAATTACCTCTCTGTAGTGATTTTTATACTAATATTAAAAACAAGACCCTTTAAATAAAAAAGAAAGAAGAAGGAGCTGGGGGGTGGACAGTGTGAGCGAGTTTCTTCTGGTTTTGCTAATAAAAAAATAATTTCTATTTAATGTAAGGTTTGGTAGCGCTGGGCTAAGAATAACCAGAACTTACTGCCTTCTACCTAGATGTACAGGAGAACCAAGTCTGTTTCCAAAGAAATAGAAATTAATTTTAAAGGAAGAAATATTATATGGCTATTTCAGTTCTCAGTTCAACAGCTCAGCACTCAACACTACAGCTGACATCAAATTTATGAATGCTTAAATGTCAGTAAATTGTATAAAAACAATATCTCTACAATTTATGAATCTATAATTCATTTTTTCACTGTCTGCTCTGTATTTCAGCACTTCATCATTTTCAAGAGAGCAAACATTCTGAAGACTGAAATTATATGTAGCAAGTGGCTCTATATGAGAAAAGGATTGTTATTGTTGCATCAAATTTACTCCATGATAACAAATTAGTGTCTTCTACTGGTGCTGCATTTGAATGCCTTAAACAAACAAACAAAAAACTCCACAGAAATGAGATGGAAGAGCAAAAACCTAGAGCAGAAATTATGTTTTTAAAATCAGTTGATTTAACCTGGTCAGAAAGTCAGGTGGAAAGAGTTGTAAGAGACTTCATTATTCTATGAGGCGTGTTCGTCTGGACATTAACATCCCTATTGTTCTTTCTTAGCCAACTTGGAAACTTCATCTTGGTCAATGGTGTGTGCCAAAGAACTGAAAATAATAAAATGAGGAAAAAAAAATCTGCAGTAATTGGGTTGAAAAGTAACTGTGTACTACCTATTGTCCCCCCCAGCTCACTTCTGTTTGCAAAAAAACATGAAACAAAAGTGTCCAAGGACCAGTGTTTCAGGCTGAGTCGAGATTTAACACTAGCTAACCCAAGTTAACTTTTTATTAGAAGACTATTGGCAAAAGTAAGCAAAAGTTTTGCTTAAAGAATGATTTGTGGTTTATGCTTTTCCATGATCTATCTTGTGAAGAAGCTCCCAGCATATACACAGGGTGCAGCTCCCTTCCTCATTCAACGGCTTGGTATCTCCACCCCATTTAGTGCCATTTTCTTCCCAACAGCTGTTGCTGCCTTCATATTTTTCTTTGTGCTGTCAAGACAGTAGGTACAGACTCCGTTGAGTCTGACCATTGAGGTCAGACTCCTCCCGAGCACCACCGAGGAGCTGGAAGGTGTACTGCTTCTCTCCAAGAAGGGACTCTCAGCCTAAGCTCAACTGGCACAAAGACCCGGATGTTCAAAGTGTAAAATATTTGGAATCGCCTTGCCAGTTGGGGGAGCTCATTGATGACGTCTCTAAAGGTGTTGAGAAGTATTTTGATCCAAGAGTAACTATTCTACAGAACTAATGTCAACAGGAGCATCACACCAAAACGCAGCCTCTTGTGGAGTACTGCGTACAACAGAAGAAGGGGAGAACTTGTCTGGGAGGTATTATCTCTTTAATTTTACCATCTTCTGAAGCAGAGCTGTGTAAAATTCATTTTGCTAGACAGAAAAATACATTAAAACACATGGAAAAATATAGGTAAAACACAGTATTACCAATAAACATTTCCTTTTTACTTAGAATCAAACCCAGAAAAACGTATCGATCTGAATTAATGGAGCAGTGCATGGCAGACAAATTACGAGTGTTATTTCAGAGACTCAAAGTGGCAGGTTTTTTCACAATATACTGTCAGACTGCACAGACTGTGTAACAGCAGCTTTCTAGTAAAGATCATTTCAATTATTCTCATCTCATTGGCAGATTCTCATCTAAAACTGTATACTCGGGGTCTAAAAATGCATTGCACTGAAAAGAAAACACATAGATTATAAAAGAAGCTCAACCAAATTTAAACGTGATGTTTGGAAAGACAATAGCTTTGCAATGCCGGTATCATTACTTGTAGTATACAGGAAACAGTTAGTGACATTTTCATGCACTGGCTTGATTTTTATCTTCTCCTTCTCCTCTCTCCACCCTCCCACCCCTGGTCTCCCCCCTTGGCTCGTTACACAAAGCAGCTCAACGACATGACGCAATAATGATTGTTTAGCACCCAGCATGCTTTGGGAGACTAGAGCATTGCAAAGAAAAATCACTGAGGAAAAAAAAAAAATAAAAATCGAAAGGTCCTGGTGGAAAAATAAATAAAAAAAGAAACAAGTGCACATAACATCAATGTCACCTCTGAGAAAAATCATCACTACACGAAGATACAGTATACATAATACAGTATAACATGCACTCTCCAATGATAAGCTAGAAGATCCAGAGTAAGTAAAGACTTCATACTTGTGCGGGTTTTTGTGCAAAATTCTGAAAGACCATGACAAAAATCACAGACTGAAAAAAGTTTTGAGATTGCCAGACAAGCCGTGGCATTCGATAACCACTCCAATGAACGGATCGTTAGCCTGCAGCTATATTCACATTTAGTGAACAGGTTTAAAGTTTTGTGTAGCTCATCGTGATAAAATACGAGGCCGTAGAGGCAGTTTGGGAGGAAATAAAGAGCGTTGCTTGCGAGGGGCCAGCCATGACGGTGCTCTGCAGGAAGTGCCACACTTCGATATGCTCTGTCATCATTAGCATTTTTATTGGCTACATGAAGAAGGAGAAGTTATATTAACTTAAAAAGAGATTCTATTTCCAGAAAAACACATGCGCTAGTAACTCAGCGTGGCCAGGTTAAATCTCTTCGGCTTTTTCTCAGAGCAGTGCAAACCACAACACTTAAAAATCTATTTAAAAGAAACGAAGATTTTTCTTTGGGAGTATGTGTTAAAATTAAAGGTAATTTACTCATCCGATACACTCTGAGTATGACTGAGGAGCGGTATTCATAGCATTTTTATTTTCTGCTGAATGCCACTGAAAACAGGATCGGGAGCCGTGTTTGGATACCACACAGCAACCTTATCGTGCGCTTTCAGGTCATTAAGAAAAATAAACTTCACAAAGAGAGGTAGAGTGAGTCAGTAAAAAGTTTAAATCTGTGATTGTCATGTGTCTGATCTGGTCCAGGAGAGCATGGCTTTACCATTCGCAATCATTTGCACAAAGAAAACAAAGAAAGGGCAAATGATACAGTACTGTACCTCCATGGTCTGAGACTGGTGCATGGCTTTGATTGCATTCTGTGCCATTGCCCTTGTAGAAAATGTGACAAACGCACAGCCTGTGGGAACAAGGGGACAGGGAGCAGGAAAGACAAAAAACAACAAGACAAAAGGGTTGGACGCTTGTTAAACCAACACAGTCTACGAGAACGGCCACAAGACGACACTGTTCTCAGTAGTACATAAAAATAAACAACTTCTCTAGTTTATTTATTGACAGTGCTGACTTGCTAATCTGACCATAGATGAAAGAAAAAAAATTAGGTGGGGATGGGTGAGGAGAAAGGGTTTTTTCCTTTAATTTGTGGGTTGTTTTGGTTTTTTTTTCCTTTTATTTGTTTTTAGCCACAGGGTTTGAAATAGGTAAGGCTTTTATGTAGAGTTTGGATTGCATAGTTTAGTCTATTCAGGCCATGCATTAACAGTTGCTTGCTATGGCTTTTGTGCAGGTGAATTGTGGAGAGTCAATAAGTGACTGGCATCACTGGCAGCTGAACTGGGAATTTAACAAAGGAGACCATAATGTCACGTATTTCCGTGATGCATAGAGAACGACCATACAAGTAAGGATGAGAAAAACTCCACTGTGTAGCCTGTGACTAAGTGTGAAAAGACTCAGACAAAATTCAGTAATGTAGGTGGAATCTCAACATTTAAGAAAATAACATATTAAAAATAAAAATCTGTATGATTTTTGTTTCTCCGAGTCCTAAGTACAAGTATAATTCTTTGACCTTTGAAAGCTACCACCAACTTGAACGATTCTGAAGCTATGTGCATGAATAACTAAAAAAAATCACTTTTCTCCCTCCTCAGCCTTTTAAATCATAATGAAAAGCCAGTAGGCTAATGCCTGGGCTATTTTTCCTCCCTTTTACTACTGTCAGTCATAGCTACACTGGGCATGGTACAGGTCAACTTTTTTAGTGCATGACTCATTGCCCTTTTGACTAATAAAAACATTGCCTTCTGAGATTTACATTTTATTCTTCATGCACCCTTGGGCATCTTAAAGAAAAAGACTGTGAAATTAATGCAGATTCAGGCTGATTTTGTAATAATACCATGGCACACTAAAAGCTTAGCTAAAGCAACACAGACTTATTTCACTTGTGATCTCTAATGACTTTAAAAGTGCATTGATTTTCAGCTCCCTTAGCCTTGCACAGTTTGAACTTAGGTTTCAGAGAATAATTTAGTGTTCCACTCAATTTCCTGAAAACATTATTATTATTACTACTTAAAAGATTTCCAAATGAAGCAAATCTAAGCACTGAGAGGCTAAAGCATATTGTCATTTTAGAGCTAATGCATGAAAGCTACATTCTGGCATCAAAAATACAATATTGTTGCCCCTGTGGCCAATGGGCAAAATAAACCATTTTGCAATCCAACAAGCAACAGATTGTTTGGTTTATGCAAATCAATTTGAGGCACAAAATACCTTTTCTTTTTTTGCTCCATGTGTACCTGGTGAGATTATCAAGTCAAGACTGTATTCACATTTTAATCAAACAACAGTAAGAGAAAGCAATGCCTGATCATTACCCAAAAGCACTACATCTAGTCATGAAAATAAAGTCAATGCATTTTTGCATCATGCGGTATTTTTTTTTTTTCTCTTTAACGTAAAGGCCCGTGATACAAGAGAACCTAAGCTGGCTTATGTACCTCTGACTGATAAGCAAGCATCATAAAATCAGAAGTCAGAATTCTTTTACGCGAACTTCACGGCATATTTCTCAGGTAACATAACAGCTGATGATGTCTTACTGCTGTTAAGCCACACTACGCGTTGCTATACTATTCTTATTCAGCAACAAATTTCTGTCAAAGAAAATGATGTAAGAAACCAGCTTTCTTTATGGCAATCTAGACAAAATGTGCAGTAGAAGGGTAAATAAACTACAGTACCTCCGCTAGATTCCACATTGCTGCTGTGCACTAAAATTAGAGGCCCAAATTTACCATCAAAGTAATCTCTCTTAAAAACCGTTTCTGTTATTATCATTAAAAGAGGAAGTAACACCAAGGGTTTTCATTTCTCGTCTTGCAAATTCAATGGGGGATGAGCACAAATAGATATACTGGAGGGCAGGCAAGAAACCCCATACAGAGCCTTGAATAATATTGTTTATAATGGTCAAGAAACTGCCTCACTCACTTCTTCCGCTCTCATTATCCAGGAGCGTGTACCATAGTGACAATTACTGAATGGAGGTTTAGAATGCATAAGAAGCATGTAAAATGTCAACAAAAATCAATAAGACACAGTTTATGCATTTATCACAATTTCTACCCAGCAGTACGGCTGTAAGTAACTTAGTGAGAGATGTTGCAATTAGCAGGTCTCAAAAGAAATGTGAATCAGCAGAGAAATAAAGCTGCGCTCCTCTCAAGATAAAGCAGACTGTCTCTTCCCTCCCTTTAGCTTTTTCTCTTTTTAACCACAAAGCTCAGCTGTTGGGGACTTTCCGTGCCCATCACTACCACAAAACCTCCCTCCTCGCTCCTCAGCCCAAATCCATTTGCGTGGATCCCACTGGCTTTGTCACGGAGTGAAAAGACCTTCGTAGCAGATCTCTGTAAAGTGCCACGTAGCAAGGTACCAATTTAAAAGAAACTTGTTGTCCGGGCAAGGGGAATGCCTGATGAATGAGGTTATGCGGCTTGAATATGAGCAATTCGGAAGCAGCATTCCATAGAGAAGATGGGACTGCATTTTAATTACGGTTTGCCAGCCAGAGGCTACAAGGTTAGGTCCCCTTGTTATCTCCAGTCGGCAGGCCATTTCCCACCGAAGGACAGTGGCCATTTGCACAGTAAATACCCAATTTGCCTCAAGAACCAAGGTAAAAATTCAGTAGACAACCTTATTTCTAAATTATTTGATAACCTAGACCTTCAGTTGTTACCATCAAGCACCCCAATTAAACGCTAGCTAATTTAACCATCTTTCCAGACGTTGCTGCATGTATTCACATTGAAGGGTTATTTTTTTCAGATACCAAACCTGGACACACACACATAAAATCTGTATATTTATTATGGTTGCACATATATTTTATTATGTGTTGAACATGGGATCCTATATATTTTATTATGTGTGAAGCATGGGATCCTTTCCTTCATGACCAGACTGCCACACCGGAGGGGAGCTACGCCTGTATCATAGATTCAATCTACTTAACTCAATTGCTGAACTTGCACGTATAATGTAGGTATTCAGAAAAGCTGTTCTGAGATGGTTGTATTCCCTACCGCGGTCGATGGCAATGCCTTTCATTTTCTATATGGGGTACGCATGCACTTTCGGAAGATGGGGTTTTTTTGGGGGCTTAGAATTTGATCAGAGGTTGGTGTCTAGGCATACTGGATTTCACTTGTCTAAGCCAAATGAGCTCTGCCTGAACCATCCTGTACTCTTAACGTAGGAGTTTCTGAGAGGTTGGGAAAAGCCTTTTCAGCATACTCTTACTATATCTCATGGATACAGGTGGTCTTTTGGGAACATACTGTCAATTTTTAGGACCGTAAATCACAATTGTAAGAGGACAAGACTGATTAGATTTCATGCCTCGTGGTGCAAGGAAACAAGAAAGATTTCCATGGCCTCTTACCTTATCCTATGAAACACTGCACTGATTGCAGCGCCACGGGCTGAGGTCTTCAGGACCAACAGCTACAAGCAAACTATTTCTGTTCTACCATACTGAGTCCCGATACTTCAATTACTCCCTGCGTACTGGAGCTATGGATCTCTCCGGGAGAGAAAGCACGGAGATGGGGATATTTCTATAGCTAACGCCTTGAAATTATTTTGTTTTACACCACCAGCTACCTAACCACAAAAAAACCATGTATCCTTTTATAAATACGGCCAACCTGCAAGTCGTCTTGCAATTATTTATCACCTCTGGTTTCAAAATGTCAGGGATCACTAACAGAAACTAAAGCGGGGGGAGGAAGGAGGTCTAAGAGTTTTAGTTGCTTCTCCAAGACTGCCTTCTCACCCCCTACACCAGATAAATGATTGACTGGGGAAAGGCTGCTCCAAGTAATTTCCTCCTGCAGGCAGAATCGGAGGGAGGCATCCAGCCCTGTCACAGAGGAGATTTTGGAGCACGTTATCACATTTGCCATCTCAGCTGAGAGAATATCTAAACTCACAGGGTTGGGCCTTAGCCTCCTCCCACCCCAAACCAAAAAAAGAATTTTGAAGAGGCTGCAAAATTAGAAAAGCTTCCTCCTCGACCCTTGCCATCCCAAACCTAGGGCTTGCTGCTCGAGTGACTGAATTACTTGAAATATTTAAAAAAAGCTCAGCACTGCCCCATTTCAGTTCCCGCTTCACTCAAGCCTTCTCATCTCAGGCGTTCACAGACTGTTTTGAAACGTTCAGTCAGCAGTTCATGCACAGTCTAACATAACATCAATACTTGCAAGCTGCAGGTGAAGTAGAACGTTTTAAAGTATGGAGGCCTCAAGGCAAGGGGTCTGATTTCATACCTACAAAAGAAACCTCCCACTACTGTGGTCTACCAGAGGTTTTAAAGCCCCCAAAACCTCAATGAGGCCAAAGGAAGATACAAAACCCCTAGACATTTTTGGATCAGGCCTAGAGTTAAAAATGAAAGTTTAAAACCCACGGCTTTAAAGTTTTGGAGATTAAAGACTGGCAGATGTAATCAATTTTATAAAAAAAAAATATAGTGACCCCTCTGACACAGAAGAAAGCTCAAGAGATTTTCAAATCGCAGTGCTATGCACGTGCACTTGGTGGTGTAACGGTTGCACTACAGCTTCCTAGTTCACCGTAAACAAGTTTTTTCTCCACTTTCTGCAAAGAAACAATAGTGAAAAGCTGCCAAAATACTCCTGGAAGAAGTATTTGGGATCCTCTGAGATGAAAGCCTCTATTTCAAGAAAAGATAAGGCTCCAATAAAAAGCTATGGAAATTGAAGCATGATAAAAATAAGCTCTAGTCGAGTTAAAATATTTCTAGCTGAGATTGCAAAGTAGACTTTTTCCCTTTTCTACACTGTGCTAATATAGCAC